GCTACATAGTGCATCTATCCACAATTAAGGGATTGGCTAACACAGAACACCCCAAGCCACTAAGCACATGGGCTTGATGGACAGGACTAAAGTGAGGCTCACTGACCCCGTAGTTGCACGTGTCAGCTGCAGCCAGCCTCAGAGTTTTAAAAAAGGCCTGGATAAATTAGAACCAGCACAGAGGCAAACTGCACAACGCCCGCAATCTTTGCTGACTGTTACGACTGAGAAATTATCTCCTGCAGATGACACAGACGGTTCTGTACGGAATGAACTCGGACGTAGACGCGAAATATCCTCGCGCTTTCCGAGCAACCTCTCTGATCCAGAGGAGAAACCGGACACCGAACGCCCCACCTACCTGTCAGGTCGCTAAATTTGGTGACTCCGTATTCTGCTGTGCCCTGATCCAGTTCCTGAATGATCTGGGCTTTCTCCAGATTCTCAGCAAAGATCCGGAAGCGCCTTTGGGTTTCTGAAGCAAAGCAGCCCATGGAAACAACCCCCAATTATAATCTGGATTTACAACATTGTGCTGAACAGAACGAGGCGAAACTGGGTAAGGGAGGAGCAGCGAGAACCCAACCCCAAACCCTCTGCTGAAAAACAGGCCTAGCCCTGGGAGTGCTTCCGCTGAACCAAGGAGCTCATGATCACAAGACTGGATTCTCATGTGCAATCTCAGGCTGTTTTTAATGCTGGGGCAGGCCTGCAACATCCCGTGAACTTGTGCAACGGTGCCTGCTCCGGGTTCCCTAACTCCCCAAATGCTGTCGTGTCCCTTTGGGGATGTCTCTCGTTCAGCAGTCACCTCTTCTGTCCACGTAGCTCTTCTTGAAGGTGGTCAGAAACTCCTTGAAAAGAGAGACCAGGTGGGTGGAGGCATTCTGTGGAAGAAAAGAGAGCACCCAGACCTGAGAACCAGAGCCGTGGAGGACAACTAAAACCGGATCACTGGCCTAGCCCCACCATGGCTGCGGCAAGTAAGTCCTCTCTAGAAACAAGAGGAAGTCAAGGCTCTGAAGATGGAGAACGAGCAGCCATTTTTTGTCCTGGGTTCCACACTCAGACTTCTACCCCGCGTGACAGGTGGGCCTGCAATGTCACTGGAGTCCATGGGGCTTTCGGACATCCAGGAAGACGTTGACAGGCGAGCTGGGCACCTTACGGGCTCTGAGGACCCCCATTTTGCCCCAAGACTCCTTATAATGGGAGAAATTTGGGAGGGAACGCTTGGTCTTTAAAGGACACGATTTGCTTTTCAAAATCCACATCGCCCCCCGAGCACCAAGGAAAGCCCAGAAATTGCAGCCTTGCCAATTCCGGGTGGCTCTGAGGGCCCCCAAGCAGGTGTGGAGAAGCACTGTGTCGTGCCCTCCCTCCGCCCAGCCGCCTTTCCTGATTCCTCCTGGAGGAGAATCTCCTGTGCCAGGCCCTGGGCCTCCTCTGCCGTAAGAAAAATGAAGCAGAAGCAAAGCAGGAAGGGGAGGAAGACTGCACAGCCTACGACTCCCCTCGAGCATCAGTGGACGGTCGTCTCTTGGGAGCAGAGGGGAGAAGGGGAGCCGAGCCCACCCGCTTGCTCCTCAGAGCAACCCGGCTCCTGCAGGCCCTGCTGATATTCCCCTGGGGAAAAGCATCACCCACCTCAGCTGCTTCCACAAAAGGGCCCTTGAGAGGAAACGCCTCCCAGGCCCCCAGCGCGGCTGCCTGGATTTCGTCCAACGGTTCTGCCAAACGAGAACGAGCAACTTTCCAATCAAGGCGATACTGCAACCGCCACACCAGAGAACTTCAGCTATAGTCCTCTTCTGCTCCAAACAGCCCTCCTCCCCAAGACCTTCTTGGATCAAAGATGGGCCCTTCTACCCAACAGAAGGGGCACTGCAACCGGTTGTAAGTGCAAGCTGGTTGCCAAGGGATCAGATTGTGATCACACGACCGTGGGGGGTGCTGGGATGGCCGGAACTCCAAGGACCAGTCGTAACCACCATTCGTTCAGCACCGTCATAACTTCAAAAGGTCGCTGAACGAATGGTCACAAGTCAAGGACTGCCTGTAAATCAAGGAACCCTAGAGGGGTGTTTCCCAACCTCAGCAGGCTGGCTGGAGAATTATGGGAGTTGAAGTCCATACAACTTCAAGCTACGGAGATTGAGAAACACTGCCCTAGAGTTATGGGGGTGGCCTCTTGCTGCACAGGACAGGCGGCTATATAAATTTGCTAAACACGCAAACAAACCGAATTAAAGTGACAACTCAGCTGCCTATATATATCCAGCAAGAGAAGAGCCACGACTTCTCCGGGCCCTGGGTTCCACTGCTAAACTGTTCCTCTAGCCCTCAACTGGCAGCTGACAGTCTGTAAATCCGTTCCTCCCTGTCCTGCACCAGCGATGCTGAATGTGCCAGAATGACACGAGTTCACAACCCGCGAAGGCAACACGAACCACCCCCATGGTGAGTCAGCACAATGTGCGAGCCCGCCCAGCCTGATTTGCAACCTCAGCAGCCAGGGCTTGTTTACCAAACCATGGTTTGAAACAACCTGGCTTAACACAACCAAGGAAGCCAACCACTCTCTTGCGAGGGACGCCACTGAATTTCTATCTGAGCGGTGAGAGCCTAGGCCCTCTTCCCCACTCTCTTTGCTCCTTCTTTCCACAGCCATCATTTGCAAAGGAAACCCCTGGCTTGGGGATCTGCTGATGCCAGCAGATAACACCAAGGGCCGCAGCCCCGGGACCCGGCGCCCTGCAGATGCTCCAGGCAGGCCAAGGGCCGACTTACCCGTGGGATGGCAGTCTTGCTTAAGCAGCCTCCTCCTGCTCGCCCAAGGCTGACTCCACACCTCGAAGTGGCAGGACTGGATGGTGAGAACAGCCGTGAGTCACACGCGTGCAAAAAGACCAATCGTGGAATGGGACACCTTCCTCGGTAACAATCCAAGGGAAGGAAAGCAGAGCCTGCTGGGCTGGGGGGAGGAGGAGGAGGAGGAACCCAGAAACCAGGAGCGCGGTAGGGGTGAGAAAGGAGCTGGGAGAGGGCCTTCCCCAATGGCTGGCCACCCCACCGGGAATGCTTGGCCTGAAGGAAAGTGCTCCGGCTGCAGCTGGGTTGTGAGGCAGTGTGCGAGACTGACCAAGGCCTGGATCCACAGTGGGAGGGCAATGCCATAGGGATTCCTCTATGCCAGTGTTTCTCAACCTTGGCCGCGTGAAGATGTGTGGACTTCAACTCCCAGAATTCCCCAGCCAGCAAAGCTGGCTGGGGAATTCTGGGAATTGAAGTCCACACATCTTCACGCGGCCAAGGTTGAGAAACAGTGCTCTAACGCAGTGCAGGACGGAAGCTGCAATTTGCTTGCTCTGGTCGAGGGAGGGAAGGGGGTCCTCCGTGAAAGGAGTTTTTAAAGGCTGCATTTAATTCTGATCAGCCCAAACCATTTTTCAACAGAACTGTGCAAAAACTGGGCGCTTTGAAAACTAGTTGCTGGAATTAGGGGACTATTAAAGTTTTAATGAGTTGTAAGCCGCCCAGAGTCCCCCATTGGGGGGAGATGGGCAGGGATTGGATGGATGGATGGATGGATGGATGGATGGATGGATGGATGGATGGATGGATGGATCCCCTCCATGAGAACCAAGAACCAAACACTTTGGGAGGGTCACTTCTTACCACGTGTTCCGGTTTTCCAGGCGGGACAGGCCCAGGAGCGTCACAGCCCGCAATTTCGCTCCTCTTGCATGGACTCCGGAGCAGGGCGACCTCCAGGTAGTGTCTGACGCCGTTCACCACCTGCTCTCGAGGAAAGAGCACCGGGACTGAAGCCGTGGCTAAATGAGACTGCCGGAGGTGAGCTGAACAGGTTTGGTAAGAACTGAGCAGGAGGGGCCGTTTTTCACCAAGGCTGCTTGGCGGCCCCCTCCTCCCGCCCAACAAGATGATCCCTTCTTCTGGGCTTGGGGCAGAGGACTGCAGCCTTGCAAGAACATTGAGCGTCAGCAAGAAACGCTCACGGAGTTCCTTGCCCTTCCAGCCTGGCACTCTCTCACTGCGATCCTGTAATTGCCTCGCCAGCAGGGCAGGGCAGGGCAGGGCTGCGCATCTTCAGCCTTCCGGATCTTTGGCGCCCAGTGACGGAATGAAGTCACGCAGTAGGTTGTCTCCCGGCCCGCAAGGCCCTCCTGTTCACAGGGGTCCTTGACCCCAGCAGGAGCAGGCCGGCGGGCTTCTGATTCTCCAGCTGGCGAGTCAGCCGAAGGGCACGTGGCTTGTAGTCACCACCTTAATCCTCTTGCATAACAGACCAAAAGCAGAAGGGATGCTGGCCGCCCCACCCGCTCAGCTCTGAAGGTCTGTGACCTCCGAACCAGCATCAACCAGGGTCAGCCGCCGCACCATTATTCGGACACCAACTCAATTTCAGGGACCGGCAGGTGGCAGGGAGCACCTGGCCCCCCCTTTGACTTTTCCCTTTGCCTGTGAAAGCCGCGTTCCCCAGCCAGGCCTTCTCCGGACAAGCCGGGTTGCAGCGCTCCTAATTCCAGGCAGCCTGGTGAAGCCCAACGCTTCTGGGGGCAGGAGCGTTTCAAGCCATCGGGCACCCTTTCCGGGGACAGCAGTGCTGTCCGTGGGGAGTCCCCCACCCCACCTGGCCAACGACGCAAACGGTCAGGCTCGGGGTCCTCTGCGGGGCTCATCCGCGGCCCGGATTCCCCCACTTGGCTGCTGCTTTACCCCCACCGGAGGGAGCAGCAGCTGAGCGGCTCCTCGGGGGCGGGCAGGGAAAGTGAGGAGGGGGCATCCCCGGTGCTGCGCGGCCCT